GTTTATTTGCTTGAAATAAACATACGAAGTTATATTGAAGCCCTTTGTCGTCTGAAGCTGTACCGCATGAGCGGTTCCACCAAATAGTATGCCATATTTGGGTTGGCCTATTGTCAAATATGTGTACTCCAGCCTGTTGACCAGATGTACCTAACCCGTTAATGCATTTTTTATCTAATTTTTATTGGTAAAGCTGCACCTAAATTGCCACTCGGCCGCAGATTTTTCGGTGTTGTTTATCATATTATATTTACGTAAAGTAAAATAGTGACATTGTGACTAATTTGGGATAATAGATCAAAATTGATGGTCTTCGCAAGACTCTTACACCTTAGACGCTGACAGCCTCAAAGCTATAAGAGATCCTGTTACTGCTCCTATTTATGTCCCCTCTTATTTGCACCGCTTTTATTTAAAAGCTTGGTAGTCGAATGGCAAATAAAATGACGGTCTATCAGCCTCTATACTTAACAATACGGCCCAAATACGAATCGACTAAGAAGATTTACAAACCAGCTGCGCGGTGCATATTCGTGTTAACGTAGTCAGATGCAAGTCGCAGTGCCATATTCCTATACCCATTTTAAAACCACTAAATGTTTTAAGTTTTACGTCCGATGTGTTGTCTTTAGGCATTGCCCAAGAGAGCTGGGTCCGAGCTCGAAATGAAGCTTGTACACGCATACAAGTTTCAAATCTAAGCCATCTTAAACGTGCGCAAGTTGAACGCCCCTAAGTTTAGTAGTAGCACTTGTTGTACAACGGCAAGGCCGACTGCAAGCCAGGATTTCAGAAGCTTCCTGTAAATAGGTTGCGCTGCTGAGCGCGACAACACTTCAAGTTTCTAAACCTGTTTGCCGCTGAAGACATGTCGTTTCGAGCCGCCTTTGCGACCTCTAGTCGGTAGCGAAACCACTAATAGTTAAGGTCAAATGAACGATACGTTTAAGAACATTAACAGTTCCGTTTCCAATAACAGTATATATAGCATATATACTGTTATATATATATATATATATATATATATATATATGTATATATATATATATAGCAGCAGTAGTAGTAATTCGATTAAGTTAAAGTTGTGCTTCTAACTAACACGGTAGCGCCTTTTTACTGCACCAAACTAGATCTGTGTTCCCAAGGGCTTCCCCCAGCCAACCTAGCCCGTTGCTAACGCCAGCACACAAGCGACAACATGTTTAGGAAGTGGTCTGACGGTCATCAAATGCTGTAGCCAAACTGCTGGGTCGTTGGACCGTTGCACCCAATTTTAATGTAAACAACGTGACTTTGGAAAATATTCTTTACCAAACACGTTAAAGCCGGCTTATGGCACCGTCCAATGTACATGCTACTGTTTTTGTCCGTTTCCAATTTTGAACGAATAGCTTTTTTACTACAGAAAAAGCTTCGTGCATTACTTGATTTGCTATGAGAACCACCCGCGTCCGTTCTAATATCTAGCATTCCGTACTTTGAAAGCCCGTTTAATGTCCCGTTCGCCTGCTATTATTTAGCACCTTTTCTTACCAGTTGAACCAGCGGGAAGCGAGGACGAATCACCGCCTTCGTGCATCAATCACGTACAGGCATTTCATCTCGTTTTCTTCCCATCTCTAGATAAATTCTCAGCAGAAGATAATTCTGTCTGGCGTACGGTGCAAGCCGTAGTTTTGACTGATTCTCTGGAACCTCTTCGTCATCTGCCTTTTGCTGCGAAAGGCAGTGTCAAATCAGAATGTTCCCGACGGTACTACCAGACAACTAGTCCAATGTGTTTCTATGCGCAATTTTTTGTTCAATGGATGCTTTACGCGGCCGCTATCAAATGTCTCAATACAGACATTATCATATGGCGGTACTGTAGCTTTCAAAGGGAAATCTCATAGTTGTTATTATGGGATTCTCCCTGTCGCCAGTCTTTGGCGAACGCAACATCTTTTCTCTAATTGAATCGTCAGCTTCTCTGAGTTGCGGGATTCTTGCATAGAGTACGTGGGTCAAACATTTGGTTCTGACGAGGGATATCCATCGCGAATTTAACGCGAAATGATTTAGAGCTACTGATGCTAACATACAAATCCGATTTATACGGAAAAAAAAGCTGTTACACTCATGCGAGTGGGACCTCTGTTCAACTAAATAGGTTAAATAAACTAAAATTCTAAAAAAAATTCAACTAAAAATTATTGCTTTTTGCTTTAAGGTAAAACAAGATCGCTTTCTTTAATATAAACAGACGCGTAAGGGTAAATTTGTTGCGTGAAGACGTAAGGCATTGAAACGTTTAATTATGTTTGTCTGCAAATCAATCTGCGGGACGTACAACACCGTTATGTGTAGCTGATGTTCCACACTTATCATACACAAATATCACGAAGACTATTGGTAAACTAAGGTCTTTTCTTCGGATCACCTTGTCATTAGAATGAAAAAGGAAATGCGGACGCGTAAAATATATCTTAACTAATGCAGATTGAACTATTTATTTCAATATAGACTCTCTGAAACATATATTACGCACTGTGAGCAACTCACGCATACAACTGCCTTTGATGAGCTATAAACTTTAAGGGAGGTCAACTTTTTTTTTTTTTACTTGTGCCTTTACTCCTTTATGCTGTTTGAGTGTACTAACGTCGACGATGTCAACTTGTTTACAACGTAACGCGGTACCGCGGTGATAATTAACTCCGAAGTCGTCGTCTGTACGATTTTAGGAGTGGAAACGTTTTCTCCTAAATTAGTCTTAATCCTCAATATACCCTCGCGCTTTCACACTATAATTTATCGCCAAAGAACTTAATAGATCAACTGGAATCATGGGTAACAGCGATCAGCAGGAAAAATAATTTCCTGACCCTCAGGCGTGCTTACCATTCCTCATATTGCATCCACTCTATTTCCACCCCCATGTCCCTGAATCATTCTTGTTGGGTTTCTAAAGTCCAAGCGTTTTCATGTTCTTTTTGCTTGCTTTTTTTTCGCGCCCCTACGCGGTTCCGCCGTTTTTAGATTTGGACGAGTTTTTGATGCAGAAAAATCGTCAATAATAAATACCTTTTCTTATTGTGCTGCTCCGATTATTCGTTTCATGCTCCACGTAACGGCGGTTCGCTCCGTTTGTTCGTTTATCCCGGCCTTTCCAACTATATCCACCGCGTAGCTTTACGGGTCGGTCTGTAGTGCAACGCATAGCGTGCGGTGTGAAGTGTGTACCACATACAAGCCGAAATGGGCACGGACAGCAAGCTTTCACTTTCGCCATTATTTACTTGGGACTCTCATAATAAAGCGACCATAAGAACATTGAGGCCCAGCTGTTGTAATGACCATGGCCACCATTAACCACTTACCCGTATCGTTGTAATTCTCGATTTACGCAAGAGAGGGCCAGGTGAGAGGTCAAGCAGCTGGCTAGCCCTGTCAGCTGCCAAAATCGTCAGGAAATTTTATAAGGGAAGAGGAGCATGAAGGCGCACAGAGGATGCTTGAATCATGCTCGAGTATTTTGACCAGGGCTTCGTCAATTCAAGGTGACCACAAGACAGAAATCTGGTGTGTTGCTGTGGCACGTAAAGCAGGGAGATAGGACGATGCCAGGCAATGGCGATGGTAATGACAACCTGCTAAACAGGACGCCAGTATCGGGGCAGCCAACGTTGTCATAGATGCTACCAAAGACTGCCACAGACTTACTACACTTTTCCCGCAGGGCGACCTCTTCTGGATCGCAGTTTCCCAGGGCAACAGCCCCTAACCAGATAATAGGAGCTCCTGGGGCCTACTGATGCCCTCATGGCTCTAGCCAGCAGCCAGTTAGAGAATTCCGTGTGCTTTCTCGATAGTACTGCTACTGCTGGTACTATCCCCACTGTGTGCTTGCGAGCTGTTGTTCATGCATAGGGGCGGGCTTGTCGATATCTTTTGGCGTAATTTTTCATCTTCCAAGTCCAGACAGGCGGGATTTAGTAGCAGGTTTTGTTGCAGGATCTCATTTCTCCTGCCTGCAGTAGATTTGCGTAACGAGGGCAGCCGATGACATGTGCAAATATGTGGGTGTAGATACGATTAGAACGGAGATTTGGGGATGACATCTCATTAGATTATCTGGCGACGTTTAAGAGAGCTTTGGACTAGGAGTTGTCCTCTAATAAAGAAAAACGTTTTGTAGGAAATTCGACCGACAGCGTGATAGTCGCCCGTCTTTTTTCCGCTGCCCTTAACCTGCGTTAGCTAATTGTGCTACAAAGAGCCATACGTGTGCCGTTGTGTACCTTGACGTACCGACCTTTGTAAAGGCGACAGCAAACGATTTATATAAGTACGACCCCTGCGATAAGTGCGACAAGCTTGTACCACTGGTGAAGCTTGTACCGAAAAGAGCGGACCCTACATGTTGTTCACTGATATATTTGGTTTTGCAGTAAAGGTTAGGAAAGCTATCATCGTAGATGTGGATGTTGTTTTCTTTCGATATAGTTAACAAAGCGTGATCACGTGTTGCTAAGAGACTTGATGCCAGCTTAAGCTGTTAAATTCTTACCTCACGGGAAATCTTTTCCGTAATAGACTTAAACTCACAGCATCTAGACTCGCGCTAGCCCGATAGCTAGTAATGCGACTCAAAAAAAAATGTCACAATAACAGATGGCGGAAATGCTCATGGCCTCGAACAAACAACATCAGTACGTGCCAATGGACATGGCCTATGTCACAAATTGATGAAATATACGAGTTCAAATATGGATTTATAGACCACATTATCGCATATAATACATAATGCCAGCATGGACTTCGTTAGAAGCAATGGCCGCTGGGTTTTGTAGAGGCGTCTTTAGGCTACACGCTTTAGCCCGCACTCCCTTTTTTCGTCCTCTTTTCAGAGAAATTTCACAAATTACCCTTCTTATCATAACGTAATTTTACAAATGTTTCATATTCAATAGCGATCTCCATGGGTAACGGTTGATATTGAATGTAATTCTTTCTTACAGACTGCGCGAGGTAGCGTCCCACCTTCAACATGGCGACGTGCCTCTTGCCGTCCTCCAGAAGACGCTCACATATGCTGCTTGTGTACTTGACACTGTCTGCCAGGAAGAAACAAGGTATGTAATACCATGATCTTTGGCCACTTATTCAAAAAAACGACAACAACTAATTACCATCCCACCACCAGAGAAGCCATTTATTATTAAAAATAATAATTTCATTTTTAGCATGAAGCACAGTCTGTTGTTGAAAGCAATAATAACGACGTGTAATTATCTTTCGTGGAAATCGAGGCAACACCAGTAATAGCTGATTACGCGCTCGTTTTGTGAATATAAAAATTTTCCATGAATATATATAGGAAATGTTATATTTCATAGATTTTGTACAATTGCTTGATGTAGTTAAACTTTGTTGCACCTGCATAATGCTATCAGGAAAAACGCTCGTGCGTTTGTAGTATTAAGAACTACATCTATTCAGAATGCGTTTTATCTGCCTAATCACACAGGCCCGCGTATGATTACAATATATTTCCTATGTACTGTGTTTCTCCAATAGACGTACGACCCCTCGATATGCTTATGTGTTTGTCATGTACAGAAAATAGCTCTGTAAAACAAATCCTTTTAGGTGGTTCCGAGCGTTTCCTCGCATTTTGGTGGTTTGCTTGCTTGCATATCGTGCATGAATTTGACATGCTATTGACATTGAAAATGCACGTGATAGGCACGTAAAATTTAGAAAATCTACTTGCCAGACACGTAAAAAAAATGTATTACACGCTTGACACGCCTTTTATCCTGTGAATACGTTAAAATTAACTATGCATCAATGGAATGGACATATGCATACAACAGATCGCGTTTGAGCTATAGCTGTAAAAAGTCTTGTTCCCAGAAAGCTGTCTGTCCAACCAGAAATGTTTTACGTAATGAATTCCTTATGCCAGTTAGCAGTGCCACCAGCGTATCGTGCATTTTCTGAAAGCTGTTTGAGCTCACCCCATGACGCAATGCACTGAATCGCCCTAGGCTCTATATTAAGCACCCCCTAAACAACACCACAATCACATTTCTGCCGTGAAACAACGCGCAGGCTTTCCTCTAAGAGCCTTATTCATTCAGTAAAAAACAAAATGTAAATGGGAAGATTAACGATAATCGCGTTTGGAATAAATGAATAGATCTATAAGAGGAAGGTATACAATACAGTGACATACGTAGAGCCCTAATGTAAGTTATGTCTCCTCGAGGTCAGCGGCAGTCATGGACGGCGCGGCTGATACGCGATCGTCATTTTTAAAGCAGTTAACGATATTATTTATGTTAACTGAGCTATACTACGCTTAGTATTATTATTATTATTATATTTGCTATTAGAGGTAGTTCATAAAAATATAGAACAAGCTTCTACTGTTATGATAGTGATGATTAGATAATACAACATTCACAATAGGAATAATGAAAAAGGGAAATATATCAAACAAAAATCACTAATTGACGAAGTTGCGGTCTTTCAGTGACAATTCCCAATGTCTTTTTCGTTGCCTATTTCTATGAAATATACTGTCTATAGTCTTAAATAGTCCTAACTCAAGCGACCGATTCAAGTTGCCGGTAACGGCAAGCGATGAGCGAATTTTTAGACCTGGTAACACGGTCTCTGGTGGAACGACCCATACTCTGTTGTACTTAACTTGGCTTTTAACGAAATCAGTTTTAATTTTTCGCTCAGTAACTTTAAGCAAAGGAAAGCTCTATGAGGAACGTCGGGCTGAACGACACGTAGCTTAGCGTAACCGTTTTTGCACGCTACTGCCCCCATCACCCGTGGATCTACCGATTTTGCAGCAGAAAAGGCGATTTATAGGCTGTGTCTTAGTTATAGATCTAAGGCCTCCCCCTGTTAACCATTAGGTACCATTTACTATCTCGATTTGTAGATGTTATCGCTTTGGAACGGCCTGTGCTGTACAAGTGAATTATTCACCTTGTTCCTCGTTTTTACGATTTTTAATACTGCATTCGATTATGAGTGATTTAGGTGGTGAAATCAGTGTCAGGTACGATTCGCTGCTTACGGAGAGGTTTAATTCCTCGAAATGTTTCACTATATTCCATAAATCAGTACGACGCTTTGCACCGACTCCGTGAACTTCCAAAGCGATGTACCGCAGGAGGGATCGGTTGTTTCGTCTGCCGCCAGCACGGGTAGATCTCCCGATATCATACTATAGAAACAAATTATAGAGATGTGTTATTATCGGCCGTTTACAGCGAAAATGCTGCTGGTTCCGGTCGATCGTTAATCGAAAGGCTCAGCCATGCGATCCTTGCAGGACCTTGGGGGCTGTTAGGATGGCCTGCAGCTTAGTATTCATACAACCACTGATACTTGAGGGAAACCGACTTGCCAACCTAGTCCAGAAGGAACTTATTTAAGCTGGCTCTTGAAGTAAGTCATATTAAAAAGTAGACCGCTCCGTGAGAGTTCATCAGTAAGGATCTGTGTTTTCAGTATTTCAAACGTGGTAGATGGGTTAAAATTTTCATCTTGTCTACGTTGGGGTAGTTTTGCTCTTTAATGAAGGCTTCGCGACGTTTATAAAAATAATGTTAATATAGGTTTTACGTCTTCGCCAGCCAGTGATACTGATGCGCGAGCGGTTTTGCCTAGTTAAAAGTCTACGACGGTACACACCTGCAGTAATGGGTTTGAGCTGCTTTATTGAAACGAAGTTCAGCGTAGCTTATTAGCCCTGTCGAATATTACATCAGTTTTCATGAAACACCGAGCCACTCGGAGCCAATCATCAAGCACGCCATCATCGTCCTGATATTCAAAATTAGTTAATAGATAAATCCTACTAATTTGAAATTGACCCGCTGGATCCTACTACAGTGCTGTATTCTTCTGTCATTTCTTTGCTGGGCATATCAATTTGTATAGTCCACCGGGGTTATCCATCATTTTCAATATACTTTTGATGAGATGTATCCTGCCGAAACAGGCTCCAACAAGACCGGGATACGAATGCGACAAAAGGGAACTATCTATATATAGTATTATCGAGATATTGACAAAGCAGTCTACTATTGTTTTTTTTTACCGTACAAGTTGACTCTTGGTAGGAAATCTGCGTTTTTTTCTAATTGACGAGCCCACTAAATGAAGCGGAATAGAAACACGACGTGCGGCTCTCCTCCTCGATCCTTTTCTATTGTTTAATATATTTGCAAAGGATCTGTAAATCTCCAAAGTGTTAATCACCACTGGATCTTTTCTAGCGTATGCCAACAATACTTTTCTTTTTTCTCGGCTGAGGCTTACCCTTCAACTTTTAAGTTTCGTTAAATGAATGTAGCTTCTGCAAGGTCAGCCTAGGCGTTTTCGATTGATTGCACAAAGACAGTGGCGACATTATTCGTATTGGCAAGGTCATGGACGGAAGCGCCTAATCCGGTTTGCTTTGAACACCAGTTTATTGTTTCTTCTATATAAAATAGAGCTGTTTGATGTTTACTTTTACTACCTGTTAAGCTAGTAAGGCGAAATCGAGCTCGTGCTGGGAAGTTTACCCATAAAAAGTGCCGTGCCATTCAAAATCAGGATCATATCTAGCAGATCTTTGCGATCAAAACATAGTAGGCTCTCTTTTAGTCAAAATGGTGTTTATTACTCGACTTGTGCACTTTAGTATTTACTAAAATAATTTAGAGACCACGGAGCACTGCTCTAGAGTTTATTTGCTTTAGTTCGTTTCAGTATCTTATTTGTTTACTGCATTTGTGACATCCTCTTCTTGGCGACCTATAATAACTAGCGTTGTTCATACATAAGCTGTGCTCCTAAGATATGTTGTAGGGCTTTCAGGGCAACAGCCTATTTGGCCAAAGCATTATTTCCTGCCGCTTCCTCATTTGTAATATCTTAAAAAAGATTAGAAATGAGTCACATATGGTGGTAGATATCGCGTGGAGAATGCTTCCCCTTTCGATAAAACTAAGGGTAGTCTTTAATTATGAATGTACCAAAAAAAAATATTTAATCCGTCTGTAAAATGGAATATGTCAATTTAAATATAAAAAATAAATGATCTTGCACCAAGAACAGGGCTAAGGCTCTCAGGGGCTATATATATATATATATATATATATATATATATATATATATATATATAGTAAATCGTATTGCATTACATTATTTCGTGTGATCTTGAAAGCCTTGTCCTAGACGTATGAAGTCGACGATAATCATTGTTAGCCGCACAAAACTTATATCTGCCCTTTTTTTTTATTTATCCATTTATAAATTTAGCCAAATTTGATCTTTAAATGTATATTGTATGTACTTGGTATACATATATACATGGTATGCATCACGTAAAATTCGGCGTCACGCATTAGTAAGGCTTCAAATAATACTAATTCTTGAGGATCTCAATTCGTGCAGCCGGTCCACCAAACACAGGTCACTAAAATCGCTGTCAATAAAACGATACACTTCTTCCTGAAAAATATACCTTTGACGACACTGTTCAGTCCAATTGTACTATAAACCTTGATATTATAGACAGCGCATCAGTTGTAAGGAAAACTTAATAGACGGTCAATACTTAAGTCAATACGTATTCAGCAATGTGTCCCGCGGAAAATAGCACAAATAGAAGACTACATACAGGTAATACGACAATGCGTCCAAGTATAGAAGGTACTTTTCTGATATTTCGGAAATACTGCCGGTTTTTCAGACTCTCGTTATTTTATTTGGCATGGCGTGGGTGGCACAAGCTATCTGTTAGCTAACTCTTAATTATGCCTCCCAAGAACCAGCTAGCCTATCCTAGGTACAGTGGCCTTAGAAAGCATTCTCACGGCCGTTCTTTGGTACTGTCCGCCTGCTGGTACAAGACCTTTTATGTCTCACCTGTCATTCGTTTGCAGCTTCAAACGAGACAACTTCTATAGAGACGCTTTCCGCATAGGTATCGTTTCTTCTGAGGCTTTGCCCAACTAGACTCGATCCGATATCATTCTATATTCAAATTCGAATGTCTTTCAAAGTAGACTGCAGTAGCGTAATAGCGAGACTTCCTCTCGCGAAGCTCGTTCTG